GTGATCCCTATTGAGTAAAACCTCTCTCACCCAGATAAGAACCCCATTTTAAAAAATGCTTTTGAAAAATAAGAATGATCTTAATTATTACTTAAGATAGACTTTATAATTAAATTATAATTTAGGAAAGCTGCAAATATATATGGAAGGCTGAGGCAGTTGAATCACTTGAACCTGGGAAGCAGAGGTTGCAGTGAGCTGAGATCGCACCACTGCACTCCACCCTGGGCAACAGAACAAGACTGTCTCAAAAAATAAAAAATAGGCCGGGCGCGGTGGCTCACGCCTATAATCCCAGCACTTTGGGAGGCCAAGGCGGGTGGATCACGAGGTCAAGAGATCGAGACCATCCTGGTCAACGAGTTGAAACCCCGTTTCTACTAAAAATACAAAAATTAGCTGGGCATGGTGGTGCACGCCTGTAGTCCCAGCTACTCGGGAGGCTAGGGCAGGAGAATTGCTTGAAACCAGAAGGCAGAGGTTGCGGTGAGCCAAGATCGCGCCATTGCACTCCAGTCTGGGTAAAAACAGCGAAACTCCGTCCCAAAAATAAAAAAATAAAATAAAATAAATAAAAAATAAAGTCTACGGTTTACCCCAATAGATCTCAAATTTTAATGTTCATATGAATCGTCTCGGAAATCTTACTAAAATGCAAATTTAGTGGGTCTGGGCCAGAGCCCAGATTCTGCATTTTTAACAAGCTCCCAGGTGGCACTGCTGCTGCTCATACACAAAATCTACAATATGTATCTATATTCCCCATGGCTAAGGTAAAATTGCCCCTTCCTGTCTAATTCTAAAGGGAGAAGTATACAACTAGCCAACTTCTACAAAACAATTCTTAAAGGCTTATCAAATCTCTGTGTTTTCTCTTCTTCATCAGACAGTTTTTTGAACCTTTCTGTTGGATTTTTTTTTTAGGGATCTTTAAATCCTCTCAAAAGCTGCCCTTTGACATAACTCCTAAGCTGAAGAAGTTCAACCTTAAGTATGATAGGCAAAACTACTAGCTCTCGCCAAGGCGGGTGGATCACGAGGTCAAGAGATCGAGACCATCCTGGTCAACATGGTGGACCTAAAAATATAAAAAATTAGCTGGGCACGGTGGCGCGTGCCTGTAATCCCAGCTACTCAGGAGGCTGAGGCAGGAGAATAGCCTAAACCCAGGAGGTGGAGGTTGCAGTGAGCCAAGATCACACCATTGCACTCCAGCCTGGGTAACAAGAGGAAAACTCCATCTCAAAAAAAAAAAAAACTACTACCTCTCTTCACACATTCCAATGGTATTCTGTTTCTGAAATAACACTGTAATACAGGTTCTGTTTTACCTATTTACTTATATATTAGTTCTGTGAGACAGGGTCTCACTCAGTTGCCTAAGCTGGAGTACAGTGGTGCAATCATGGCTCACTGCAGCCTTGAACTTCTGGGCTCAAATGATCCTCCCGCCTCAACCTCCCAAGTAGGTTGGGACTATGGGCACATGTCACTAAGCTAGGCAAAATTTTTATTTAAAAAATATTTTTAACAAACAGGGTCTCACTTTGTTGACCAGGATGTTACCAAATTCCTGGCCTCAAACAATCCTCCCGCCTTGGCCTCCCAAAGTGCTGAGAGTACAGGCATGAGCCACTGTGCCTGGATCAGGTTCATTTTTACTTTGTAGTACCAGGTGAGCGGAGATCATGTACACTAGTGGTTGCTCCCTATATTAAATTAGCTTACTTGTCTATGCTGCTGTTTCTCTGTTAACTATCACTGAATTTGATCCACTGGCTTTCACTACTTGTTTCTGAAAGAATTTCTGAGGAGGTTATTTTGAATTTTAACCCAATTCTCCCAGGAACCAGGTCCTGGAACTGAGGAAATAAATTATTTTCTCTAGCTCTTGGTTTTCTCACCTGTGAAGTACTTAAGTATAAGTGAGGGTCATAAATGCACTCTAGTCTTCCTTCCAAGAGTCTAAGATTCTGGAGTCTCTATTGTCATTCCATTCTTCAGTGCATGGAACCTGTGACCTTTATTTTGCTCTGTGTTGCCTAAATAAAGGCTCTTTTTGCTTACTTCCCAGACTCAGATATGCAGAGAGAAGTGCCTGCCATAAACTACACACACACACACACACACTACCATTTATAAGCAGCCTTACAAGGAACTCTCTCAGAGAAGTTGATGAGCTGAAACTATCCTCAAGGAACTCAAAACAAATCAAAAAACCCTTAATTATCTTTCTCAATGCAAACCAAGAAAACACATACACATAAGCAGCCAAATTTACATCTTTTTTTTTTTTTTTTTCCAGTTTTGCTGTTTTTATCCAGACCAAAGGCAACACCTATGCCGAGGTAAATGGCTATGCTTAGGTATGTATGACTGGAGAGAACTAGAAAAGCAATCAATTAGCTCCTCTCCTTAGACTCACCAGCTGTGTTTTCCTGATGACATCGAATCTGTCCGCCTGCTCCCATAGATGGTACAGTTGCAGTTAAAGTAAAACACCTGGTTCCGTACATCCACTCCATGCAGTTTATCAGAACAATGCTAGCTGTACATCAGGCAAGCCCAGGTCAGCAATTCCATCTTATCACCCAGACTAAAACCAACGTCATTTTAAACTATAGGATGTGAAAATATGCCTTTTATCCCCAAAACACATATACAACAATTTGAAGTTACAATAATAAAGTTGAAGACTTACTATATCAAGTTAAATGTCAGGAAGAAATTTAAAAAGAATTGTTATTAAAGTGTAACAATCCTAGATTACAAATTTGGTTGTCATTAACCACTTCCCCAACTACTTGATTTAGAACACTTATAGGAAGATAACACTAGCAAAATAATCTCATACTCCCTAGTTGTCAGCTTCATAAGCATGATGGTGTCAGTATCAGTAAATGTGCTAAATGAATGGATAATGCTAAATAAACAGAATATGAGAAATAAGAATTTCTTCCTAGGTGTATACTTAGTAATTAAAAAATGTTTTCTTCTCCCCATAGATCCTTAAATCGACTTAACCTATAAGCTTAAATTGACTTAACCTATACTTAAATCTTCAGAGAAATTTCTTCCCATTAAGAAAGACTCTACTATTGCACTGACTTAGTAGCAGAAAGGAAAAAAAAAAAAGAAAGACTCATCAATAAACCATCTGGGATAGACAGATGAAAATGTGTATGTATGTGTGTGTGTGTAAAGTAAAAACAGTGATTATTTCCTGAAGGAATAAACAAAAACACTCATGAGGTAATAAATGATTTTATGCCACAGTCCACAAATCAGTTTCAATGTTGAAAAGTTATTTAGGATATTTCTTTTTCTTTTCTTTTTTTTCTTGAGATGGAGTCTTACTTTGTGGCCAAGGCTGGTGTGCAGTGGCACAATCTCAGCTCACCACAAACTCTGCCTCCCAGGTTCAAGCAATTCTTCTGGCTCAGCCTCCCAAGTAGCTTGGAATACAGGTGCATGCTACCACTCCTAGCTATTTTTTGTATTTTTAGTAGAGACTGGGTTTCACCATGTTGGCCAGGCTGGTTTTGAATTCTGACCTCAAGTGATCCACTTGGCCTCCCAAAGTGCTGGGATTACAGGTGTGAACCATCCAACCCGGCCTATTTAGTATAGTTCAACAGCTTATCAAAAAAGTAGTATGTGCTTCTGCACCTGGTTCCTAGAGAAGAAAGAAAAAAAAGTAGTATGATATGTCGGAAATAAGAGATGTTCCAGGACTGCAGTAAATATACAGATATGAGAGAGCTTGTTACCAAGACAGTATAGCATTATCAGGTATATAAAACTAAAGGCAAATGAAAGATATATTCCTCAAGTTTAAAATAAAATCAGACATCTGTCTTTCCTCCCAAACTCAGTCAGCATTAACTAATCTTTTTCCTTAATACTTTCGCAGATGGGCCTAGCAACGTGGCTCATGCCTGTAATCCCAGCACTTTGGGAGGCTGAGGTGGGCGGATCACCTGAGGTCAGCAGTTCAGGACCAACCTGATCAACATGGAGAAACCCCATTCTACTAAAAATAAAACATTAGCCAGGCATGGTGGCATATGCCTTAATCCCAGCTACTCGGGAGGCTGAGGCAGGAAAATGGCTTGAAGCCAGGAGGCGGAGGTTGCAGTGAGCCAACATCATGCCATTGCACTCTAGCCTGGGCAACAACAGCGAAACTCCACCTCAGAAAAACAACAACAACAAAATACTTTCTCAGATATCTCCATTTATCACTTTTATCACAAACTGTCCTATATAAAAATAGTTTTTCCTCCTCATAACTCTTCAGCCTACTAGATTTAGATGATCTTTGTCAAGTTTAAACACCCTTTGAGACACCAATGCTCCTCAAAGGAGTCTTCAGGTTACAGCTAAGAGAATTATTTAGAAACCCTGCTGCTGAAAATGAAGATTCCTGGGCCCTACTCCAGATCGTCCAGGATGTACATCTCCAGGGGTTGAAGCTGCATTTCACAAGCTTCTCAGATGATCTGAATATACACCAAACTGTATACCGTACACAGAGTTGTCCCTGAGTATCCATGGTGGGTTGGTGCAAAGAATCCATATGGATACCAAAATTCACCAATGCTCAAGTCTCTTACATAAAATGGTATGCTATTTGCCTATAACCTATCCATATCCTCTCATATGCTTTATTTAATTTATTTATATATTTTCTGAGACAGAGTCTTGTTCTGTCGCCCAGACTGGAGTGCAGTGGAGCAATCTTGGCTCACTGCAACCTCTGCCTCCCGGGTTCAAGTGATTCTCCTGCCTCAGCCTCCTGAGTAGCTGGGATTACAGGGTGCACACCACGCTGGCTAATTTTTGCATTCTTAGTAGAAATGGAGTTTTACCATGTTAGCCAGGCTGGTCTCAAACTCCCGACCTCAGGTGATCCGCCCACCTTGGCTTCCCAAAGTTCTGGGATTACAGGCTTAAGCCACCACACCTGGCCCTCTCATATGCTTTAAATCATCTATAGATTACTTGTAATTCCTAACAGACTGTATACCATAGGGAATAATGACATGAAAAAACGTCTGCCCATATAGACACAACCATCTTTTTTTTTTTTTTTTTTTTTTTGAGACAGGGTCTTGCTCTGTTGCCCGGGCTGGAATGCAAAATCACTATCTCGGCTCACTGCAACCTCTGCCTCCACTGCTCCAGTGATCCTCCCACCTCAGCCTCCCGAGTAGCTGGAACCACAGGCACATGCCACAATGACCTGCTAATTTTCTGTATTTTTAGTAGAGAAAGGGTTTCGTGACATTGGCCAGGCTGGTCTCCACCTCCTGGTCTCACTCAAGTGATCCACCCTCCTCAACCTCCCAAAGTACTGGGATTACAAGCACGAACCACAGTGCCTGGCCACGATCTATATATATTTTTTCCTGAATATTTTCAATCCATGGTTAGCTAAATTCATGGATGCAAAACCCACAGAAACAGAGACAAATGTTAGTTTTTCTTCCTTAATCATTATTTAATATAAACCTATACTTATCAGTTGAGTTCACCTTCATTACTTAAAAACTGAGTCATAGACAAATTCATTTTGTTTGGTCTGTTCTGTCTCCCAACAAGAGCCTACTTCATTATCTCCCCAACATGTCGACCTAGTCCAGAGATTGGCTCAGAGCAGGCCTTTTGACAGTATTCAATTTCATCCCACACTGGCATTTCAATTCTGTTGACATTCTGAGAAAAATACTAATAGCATAAGAATTTTGTGCATGGATCATTAACAGTAAGACATTAAAAGCAAAATGTAGCAACCTAGCCAACATGGGGAAACCTCTTATCTACTAAAAATACAAAAACTAGCTGGGCATAGTGGCACGCACCTATATTCCCAGCTACTTGAGAATCACTTGAGCCCAGAAGCCGGAGGTTGAAGTGAGCCAGGATCATGCAACTGCACGTCAGCCTGGACAACAGAAAAGCTGTCTTAAAAAAAAAAAAAAAAAAGGCAAAATGTACAACTCTGTCTTATGAATTCGTTTACAATAACAGAAATAATCACCAAAATACCTTGATGGAAGTGATGAGCTGAAAAACGGCAAGGCTTCTATGGATTTAGGCCTCGAGAGCTGGATCTACCTGGAATCTTTACTTCCTGTATGTCATGAACAACAGAAAGGACTCAGGCCGGGTGCGGTGGCTCACGCCTATAATCCCAGCACTTTGGGAGGCCGAGGCGAGACCATCCTGGTCAACATGGTGAAACCCCATCTTTACTAAAAATACAAAAATTGGCCAGGCGTGGTGGCTCATGCTTGTAATCCCAGCACTTGGGGAGGCCGAGGCGGGTGATCATGAGGTCAAGAGATTGAGACCATCCTGGTCAACATGGTGAAACCCCTTCTCTACTAAAAATACAAAAAAAAATTAGCTGGGCATGGTGGCGCGTGACTGTAATCCCAGCTACTCAGGAGGCTGAGGCAGGTGAATGGCTTGAACCCAGGAGGCGGACGTTGCGGTGAGCTGAGATCAAGCCATTGCACTCCAACCTGGGTAACAACAGCAAAACTCTGTCTCCAAAAAAAGGAAGTTCTCTGAAAGGTGTGATCTCACAACTGAAGGCCTCTCAATATTAACATTGAGCAAATCAATACTGAATGTTGCTGTGGTTCATAAAATCTGTTTCAAGGCACTTAAAACAACAGAAGAGATAAATAATGTCTTTACTATTGTTTAAAGCAAAGATCCTCTAGAATAGTTTTGTGAGATTCCCATCTGATTGGAAATTATAAAAACTGCAAAGTATTATGTACAATATTGTTCCATTTATGAAAAATACTATGCATCTGAGTACTATAGGTATATATAAATGTTTACTGAAAAGCCTAAAAATATACACAAACTTTCAGCGATGAGGTGAAAGAGAATTTTTACCTTTTACTCTATTTGCTAGGTATTTTTAAGAATGACCTGGCCAGGTGTGGGGGCTCACGCCTGTAATCCCACTGTTTTGGGAGGCTGAGGCAGATGAGTCAGAGACCTCAAGTTCCAGAGCACCCTGATAAGCATGGTGAAACCCTGTCCTACTAAAAATACAAAATTAGGCTGGTGTCATGGCTATTTGGGAAGCCACCTGTAATCCCAGCTATTTGGGAAGCTAAGGCAGGAGAATTGCTTAAACACGGAAGGCAGACGTTGCAGTGAGCTGAGATCGCGTCATTACACTCCAACCTGGGCAACAAGAGCGAAACTCTGTCTAAAAAAAAAATATGTATATATAATTACTTTTCCTTTTTTTTTTTTTTTTTTTTTTTGAGACAGGGTTTCACCATGTTGGTCAGCTGGTCTTGAACTCCTGACCTCAGGTGATCCACCTGCCTTGGCCTCCAAAGTGCTTGGGTTACAGGCGTTAGCCACCATGCCCAGCCTATATAATTACTTTTCTAAAATATCTTGCAAAAACTAGTGTCGAGATGGCTCATGACTATAATCCCAGTCCTTTAGGAGGACAAAGCAGGAGGTTACTTTGAGACCATCCTGGGCAAAACAGCAAGACTGCATCTCTACAAAACATAAAAAATGTTAGCCCATAGCTCATGTGTAGTCCCAGCTACTCAGGAGGCTGGGACAGGAGGCTGATCATGCCACTGCACTCCAGCCTGGGAGAGAGAGCAAGCCTCGAAAATATAAGAATAAATTCAAAAAATGAAAAACAATTTAAAAATTACAGAGTCAGATGGGCAAGCTGGCTCACACTTATAATCCTAGCAATTTGGGAGGCCAAGGCAGGCAGATCACCTGAGATCAGGAGTTTGAGACCAGCCTGGCCAACATGATGAAACTCCATCTTTAATAAAAATACAAAAGTTAGCTGGGCATAGAGGCATGTGCCTGTAATTCCAGCTACTTAGGAGGCTGAGAAGAACCTAAAAGGTGGAGGTTACAGTGAGCTGAGGGCACGCCACTGTGCTCCAGCCTGAGCAACAAAGTGAGACTCCATCTCAAAATACAAAAACAAAAAACTAAAGCCAGGCGAGGAGGTGGCTCATGCCTGTAATCCCAGCACTTTGGGAGACTGAGGTGGGCGGATCACAAGGTCAGGAGATAGAGACCATCCTGGCCAACATGGTGAAACCCTGTCTCTACTAAAAATACAAAAATTAGCTGGGCGCAGTAGCATGTGCCTATAGTCCCAGCTACTCAGGATGCTGAGGCAGGAGAATCGCTTGAACCTGGGAGGCGGAGGCCGAGATTAGCCAAGATTGCACCACTGCACTCCAGCCTGGGCGACAGAGAGACTCCGTCTCAAACAAACAAACAAAAAACAAATTAGCCAGGTGTGGGAGCACGTGCCTGTAATCCCAGCTACTCAGGAGGCAGAGGCAGGAGAATTGCTTGAACTCGAGAGGTGGAGGTTGCAGTCAGCTAGGATCATACCACTGCACTCCAGCCTGGGCTGGAGTGAGACTCAAAAAAAGTAAATAAATAAAAAATAAAAAATTATAGTTTCAATGCAGAACACTACAGAATAAGTAATAGATAAATTATTACAGCATAAATAACATTATCCTTCATTCAGGAGGATATCACTATTAGGCCAAAGACACATGGTTTCCGTCACCCAGGCTGGTGTGCAGAGGCATGATCTCCCCCAATTGCAAGCCCCACCTCCTGGGTTCAAGTGATTCTTCTGTCTCAGCCTCCGGAGTAGCTGGGACTACAGGACTGCACCACCATGCCTGGCTAATTTTTGTATTTTTTGTAAGATGGGATTTCACCATGTTGGCCAGACTGGTCTTGAACTACTGACCTCAGGTGATCCGCCTGACTCAGCCTCCCAAAGTGCTAGGATTACAGATATGAGCCACAGCGCCTGACCCCTTTATCAATTCTTGATTCTTCACCCTATCCCAAAACTACCCGGGGCTCCTACCCACCTCTACCCTAATCTTCCCAAAACTTAATAAATAACCTAACCCAATAATCTTAAGGTCATCCTTGACTGCCTCCCCTACACCCACCCCAGCTCCTCTATACTCAATCCACTGTCAAATCATATTGCTTCTACCTTAAAAATATTCTGAATCCAACTATTTCTCCCTACCATCCATTAACAGTCTAGTCCACACCATCAACCTCCTTCTCTTGGCTTATAACTTTTTTTTTTTTTTTAAGACAGATACTCATTCTGCTGCCCAGGCCGGAGTACAATTGCATGATCTTGGCTCACTGCAATCTTCACCTCCCAAGTTCAAGCTATTCTCCTGCCTCAGCCTCCCGAGTAGCTGGGACTACAGGTGCCCGCCACCATGCCCAGCTAATTTTTTTGTAGTTTTAGTAGAAAAGGGGTTTCACGATGTTGCCCAGGATGGTCTTGAACTCCTGACCTCAGGAAGGTCTCCCGAAGTGCTGGGATTGTACAGGTGTGAGGCACTGCGCCTGGCCAACAACTTCTTCATTCACATTCTTACCTTCTCCCTTGATTCACTAGAGTGTTTCTCTAAAAGCAATCCCGTAGGCCAGGTGAGGTGGCTCACGCCTGTAATCCCAGCACTTTGGGAGGCTGAGGCGGGTGGATCACGAGGTTAGGGGTTCAAGACCACCCTGGCCAACATGGTGAAACCCCATCTCTACTAAACATACAAAAATTAGTCAGTGTGGTGGCAGATGCCCATAGTCCCAGCCACTCAGGAGGCTGAGGCAGGAGAATCGCTTGAACCTGGGAGGCAGAAGTTGCAGTGAGCTAAGATCCCACCACTGTACTACTCCAGCCTGGGCAACAGAGCAAGACCTGTCTTAAAAAATAATAAATAAATAAATAATAAAAGCAATCTCTTTAAAAGGTAAAGGGGATGTCACTTTACTGCTCAAAACTCTGATCTCATTCAGAAAATCCAAAATCCTTACCATGATCCCTAATGCTCTGTGCGCTCTGGCCCCCACCTACCTCCCTGACATCAGCTTCTAGTTCTATCCCCTGCTCCAGCTTCCTTGATGCTCTGCAAACATATCAAGCATGTTCCTGCCTCAGGGCATTGATACCTGCTATTCCCTTTGCCTGGACTGCTCCGCTCCAGATGTGAACCTGGCTAGCTTACTTTCTTCAGATCACTGCTCAAATGTCACTTGAAAAGAATGTATCTAATAGCATTCCTGGCCAGGTGCAGTGGCTCATACCCATAATCCCAGCACTTAGGCAGGGGGACTGCTTGAAGCTAGGAGTTCAAGACAAGCCCGTGCAACTTTGTGAGACCCCTGTCTCTACAAAATAAAAATAAAAGTTTCAGCCAGGCAAGGTAACACATGCCTGTAATCCTAGCTACTGGGAGAGAGGGAGTACATAGTAGGAGAAGCACTTGATCCTCGAAGCTGTAGTAAGCTCTGATCACGCCACTGTACTCCAATCTGGACAACAAAGTGAGACAGTCTCAAAAATAAAAACAAATTTTAAAAATTAAAAAAAAAAAAACAAGGCATGGGCACTGTGGCTCATGCCTGTAATCTCAGCACTTCGGGAGGCAGAGGTAAGGGGATTACCTGAGATAAGGGGTTCAAGACCCACCTGGCCAACATGGCAAAACCCCATCTCTACTAAAATTACCAAAATTAGCTCGGTGTGGTGGCACACACCTGTAATCCCAGCTACTGGGAAGGCAGAGGCAGGAGAACTGCTTGAACCCAAGAGGTGGAGGTTGCAGTGAGCCAAGATCGGGCAACTGTACTGTAGCCTGGGAGACAGAGTTATACTGCGTCTCAACAACAACAGGCCAGGTACAGTGGCTCACGACTGTATCCAGCACTTTGGGAGGAATTTGAGACCCGTCTGACCAATATGGTGAAACCCTGTCTCTACTAAAAATACCCAAAAAAGTAGCTGGGTGTGCTGGCTGGTGTGCCTGTAATCCCAGCTACTTGGGAGAGGCTGAGGCGGGAGAATTGCTGGAACCCAGGAGGCAGAGGCTGCAGTGAGCCAAAATTGCAGCAGCCTAAGCAACAGACCCCTAAAACAGGAGCAGCAGCAGCAACAAAACAGCATTTCCCCGTCACCCTCTTCTCATTATCCGAACAACAACAACACAGCATTTCCCCATCACCCTCTTCTCTTTATCCAAAATACTTCCTTAGTATTTATCAATACCTGAATATATTAAACAGGTAAAACATTCATTTTTAATCACATTAAAATTCAATGTCTATGAAAGCAGCACTATTTTGTGACTGTATCCCCTATACCTATCTCACAAAGCAGAGCCTCCGCAAAAAGGTTAAATACTAACAACAAGAAGTTGTCAGTCTGGAGAGGATGTGTAATGAATGGAACTCTCACAGACTACTGATGCAAGCACTGACTGATAAAACAACTCTGGAAAACTTTTTGACAACAGCTGCATCTACTAAAGCTGAACATATCCATACTATAGTGAATGTCCCTCCAATCCTAAGCATACACCCACAAAAAGACATACATACACACACCCAAATACAAAGAAGAATATTACTTGCAGCATTATTCCTATTAGTCAAAAACTAGAAACAATCAGAATATCCATCAACAATAGAATGGACCAATTGTGGTATATTTTTGTGGCCAAACTCTGTACAGCAGTGAAAATGGCCTGTTATTGCTAAATACAAAAACATGTATCATTACTGTTGAGCAAAAGAAGCCAGATATGGAAGAATACACATTATATGACTCTTTATATAAAGTTCAAACAGCAAAAAGCAAAACTAATGAATGGCAACATAAGTCAGGATAGTGCGGCCGGGCGTGGTGGCTCAAGCCTGTAATCCCAGCACTTTGGGAGGCCGAGATGGGTGGATCACGAGGTCGAGAGATCGAGACCATTCTGGTCAACATGGTGAAACCCCGTCTCTACTAAAAATACAAAAAATTAGCTGGGCATGGTGGCGCGTGCCTGTAATTCCAGCTACTCGGGAGGCTGCAGCAGGAGAATTGCCTGAACCCAGGAGGCGGAGGTTGCGGTGAGCCGAGATTGCGCCATTGCACTCCAGCCTGGGTAACAAGAGCGAAACTCCGTCTCAAAAAAAAAAAAAAAAAGAAGTCAGGATAGTGGTTACCCCTGGGAGAAGGAGGGAGACTGACTGGCAAGTAAGGAGGTGGGGTTCTGAAGTGCTTGCTGTTAATATTTTTCTTTTTCTTTCTTTGTTTTTTTTTTTTTTTTGAGTGGGAGTCTTGCTGTCACCCAGGCTGGAGTGCAGTGGCACGATCTTGGCTCACTGCAACATCCACCTCCCAGGTCCAAGCGGTTCTCCTGCCTCAGCCTCTCGAGAAGCCTGGGATTACAGGTGCACACCACCGCACTTGGATATTTTTTTTTTTATTTTTTTTTTTTTTTGAGACAGAGTCTTGCTCTGTCACCAGGCTGGAGTGCAGTGGCAAGATCTCGGCTCACTGCAACTTCAACCTCCTGGGTTCAAGTGTTTTCCTGCCTCAGTCTCCTGAGTAGCTGGGACTACAGGTGTGTGCCACGACCCCCAGCTAACTTTTTTTTTTTTGAGATAGAGTCTCCCTCTGTTGCCCAGGCTGGAGTTCAATGGCATTTTCTCTGCTCACTGCAACCTCCATCTCGGCCTTCCAAAGTGCTGAGCTTATAGGCGTGACCTACCACTCACAGCCTTCTTTTTTTTCTTGAGACAGGGTCTTGCTCTGCAGCCCAGGCTGGAGGGCAGTGGCACGCATGATCACAGCTCACTGCAACCTCACAACTCCTGGGATCAAGTGATCCTCAAGTGGCCTCAGCCTCCTGAGTGGCTGGGACTATAGGCATGCGCCACCATGCACTAATGTTTTCTATCTTGATCTACATAGTAGCTACACAGATATGATCACTCTGTGAAAATTCACTGGGCTGTACATTTATGATTTATGTATTTTATCTGTTTAATAAAAAGTTTATGGCGGGCATGATGGCTCACACGTGTAATTCCAGCACTTTGGAAGGCCAATGCCAGTGGATCACTTGAGGACAGGAGTTTGTGACCAGCCCAACATGGTGAAACCCCAAAAATACAAAAATAAGCTGAGCATGGTGGTAGGCACCTGTAATCCCAGCTACTCAAGAGGCTGGAGCAAGAGAATCCCTTGAACCTGGGAGGCTGAGTTTGCAGTGAGCTGAGATCGCACCACTGCACTCCAGCCTGGGTGATAAAGTCAAATTCTGTCTCAAAACAAAAAAGTTTATGTAAAGAGAAAAATAACAGAAAAAAGGCTATCTTCCAAAAAGCTACTATAGGTAATGTTTTGTTTTATAAACATGCTTGCATTTTTAGCCATAAGCAAAAATTGCTTTTAGTGAATTCAAGATTAAGTAATTGACTATAGACAAAACTTCAGTCACTGATAAACAGATTCCAAGTGTTGAAAAACACCAACCCAAAACTCCTTTTGCACTAAGCCATACTGTCTACCTAAATATAAAGACCTCCTTTTTATTATTTATTTATTTATATTTTTTGAGGTCGAGTTTTATTCTTGTTGCCCAGGCTGAAGTGCAATAGTGTGGTCTCAGCTCACTGTAACCTCCGCCGCCCAGATTCAAGCGATTCTCCTGCCTCAGCCTCCCGATTAGCTGGGATTACAGGCACCTGCCAATTTTAGGATTACATGCCTGGCTAATTCTGTATTTCTAGTAGAGACAGGATTTTACCATGTTAGCCAGGCTGGTTGCAAACTCCTGACCTTAAATGCTCCACTCACCTTGGCCTCCCAAAGTGCTGAGATTACAGGTGTGAGCCACCATGCTCAGCCAGGACCTTTTTAAATAAGGAAAAATTTAGACATCTGTTACTGACAGATATTTCCCCAAAGGTTTCCTTTTAAAAACATCACTATTTAGGGTAAGCTTAATAAAATCTGAAGCCTTGGTTTCCCCCTTCATCTTGGGATCTGAATCAGTCTATCATGTTCTTTTTTTTTTTGGAGACGGAGTTTCATTGTTGTTACCCAGACTGGAGTGCAATGGCACGATCTCGGATCACCGCAACCTCCACCTCCTGGGTTCAAGCAATTCTCCTGCCTCAGCCTCCCAAGTAGCTGGGACTACAGATGTGCACCACCATGCCCAGCTACTTTTGATATTTTTTAGTAGAGACAGGGTTTCACCTTGTCGACCAGGATGGTCTCGATCTCTTGACCCCATGATCCACCCGCCTTGGCCTCCCAAAGTGCTGGGATTACAGGCGTGAGCCACCGTACCCGGCCCTTTTTTTTTTTTTTAATTTGAGAGGGAGTCTCACTTTGTCTTCCAGGCTGGAGTGCAGTAGTTTCATCTTGGCTCACTGCAACCTGCACCTCCTAGGTTCAGGAGATTCTCCTACGTCAGCCTCCCAAGTAGCTGAGACTACAGGCACACGCCACCACACCCAGCTAATTTTTGTCTTTTTTGTAGCAAAAGAGTTTCACCATGTGGCCAGGCTGGTCTCGAACTCCTGACCTCCAGTGATCCATCCTGAGGCCTCCCAAAGTGCTGGGATTACAGGCATGAGACAGGTGACACCATGTCAGGTCTGACATGTTCTAATATTTAATTGGTATGAATTATCTGCCTGCTTTCCCTATAATCATGAAAAGGGTTCACATGAAATGACTGATCCGGCCAATGAAAAATGTACAAAGAGATCCTTTCCCTAAAACAAGTAAGTTTGTGCTCCCCACATGGCCAGACTCTCAATGAATTAACTCTTCAGCAGACTTCAAGCTAAAAATCTGAAGTCAAACCAATTAGTTAATCCCTAATGGGATCCCAATTTCCTACTTCTGATAGCAGAAGTTTAAATAAACCCCTTGGCCAGGTGCAATGGCTCACGCCTATAATCCTAGCACTTTGGGGTGGCTGAGACAGGTGGACCACCTGAGGTCTGGAGTTTGAGACCAGCCTGGCCAACATGGTGAATGAAACCCTGTTTCTACTAAAAATACAAAAAATTAGCCAGGCATGGTGGTAGAGGTATCTGTAACCCCATCTACTTGGGAGGCTGAGGCAGGAGAATTGCTTGAACCCAGGAGGCAGAGATTGCAGTGAGCTGAGATCTCAACATTGCACTTCAGCCTAGGTGACAGAGCAAGACTTCGTCTCAAAAAATAAATAAATAAATAAATAAATCCCTCGTCTTATAAATGCAGCCATAAAAATGAACAAGACCATGTCTTTTGCAGCAACACGGATGGAGCTGAACACTGTTATCCTCAGCAAACACAGGAACAGAAAAACAAATACCACATGTTTTCACTTACAACTAGGAGCTAAATGATGAGAACACATAGACATGTAAGGGAGAACAGGGCCAGGCAGGTGGCTCACACCTGTAATCCCAAGCACTTTGGGAGGTCAGGGCACGCAGATGACGAGGTCAAGAGACGCCATCTCTACTAAAAATACAAAAGTTAGCTGGGCGTGGTGGCACACATCTCTACTCCCAGCTACTTAGGAGGCTGAGGTATGAGAATCGCCTGAACCAGGGAGGATGCCATTGCAGTGAGCCAAGATCATGCCACTGCACTCCAGTCTAGTGACAGAGAGAAACTCTGTCTCCAAAAAAAAAAGAGGGGAACGAAACACCCTGGAACCTATTAGAAGGTGGAGAGTGGGAGGAGGAAGAGGATGAGGAAAAATAACTAACAGGTACTAGGCTAATTCCTGGGTAAGGAAATAATATGTACAACAAACCTGTGTGATACAAGTTTACCTATGTAACAAATCCACACATGTAGCCCTGAACTTAAAAGTTAATTAAAAAAAAAAAGGCCAGGCGCAGTTGCTCATGCCTGTAATCCCAGCACTCCGGGAGGCTGAGGCGGGTGGATCAAGAGGTCAAGAGATCGAGACCATCCTGATCAACATGGTGAAACCCCATCTCTACTAAAAATACAAAAAAAATTAGCTGGGCATGGTGGCGTGTGCCTGTAATCCCAGCTACCCAGGAGGCTGAGGCAGGAGAATTGCCTGAACCCAGGAGGCGGAGGTTGCGGTGAGCCGAGATCGCGCCATTGCACTCCAGCCTGGGTAACAAGAGCAAAACTCCGTCTCAAAAAAAAAAAAAAAAAATCCAAGTATAAAAACCAAGTCAGGCCGGGCACAGTGGCTCATGCCTGTAGTCCCAGGACTCTGGGAGGCCGAGGTGGGCGGCCCAGGAGTTCAACCCCAGCTTGAGCAATGGCAAAACCCTGTCTCTACCAAAAAATACAAAAAATTAGCCAGGTGTAGTGGTGCACATCTGTAATCCGAGCTCCCAGCGGGGGCTGAAGCAGGAGAATAGCTTGAACCAGGGAGACAGAGGTTATGATGAACCAAGATCATGCCACTGTACTCCAGGCTGGGCAACAGAGCGAGTCCCCGTCAAACAAACAAAGAAAAACAACACAAGGCAAAGGGATGTGGCCCCTGCCTACTCCCATCTCCTGACACCCTTTACCTAGCACGTTACACCTCAATAGTACATAACTACTTTTAGTCTCCCTTACGCTCATAAACTGACCCAGCCTCAACTTCACCTATCTCCTACCCATTCTTCACTTGGCTGATACCTCTCCAGAGGGTATTCTGGCAATATCTACCAAAATTACACAAATATGCAAACCTCTTGCCCCAGCAATTCTACTTCTAGGAATTTATTCTACAGATCTATGAAAAGACAATTTTTTTTTTTTTTAAAGACAATTTCTACAAGGTAATGCAGCACTGTTGCAAAAGTAAAGGGTTGAGAAAGGTAAATGTCCACCAGCACTGGGAAAAAAGTATGGTGCATTCATATAATGAAATACAATGCAAAATGAGGAAGTTCTTTATGTACTGACATTATATGGCCTACAGGCATGTATCAAAAGGGTCCAGAAGAAACTGTAATGCTAGCTGCTTCCAGGAAGGGGAAAAGACTAGCTGGAGCAGAGGTGAGAGAAACTTCACTAAATATTTTTTGTCCATTTCAAATGCTAAATTAGGTGAATACATAGCTAATCCAGAAATTATTTTACTAAGTTTTTAGGTAAAACAGATTAGCTCAAAACAAGTATTTTCCCTAAGAAAACTGGCTCAAAACAAGTATTTTCCCTAAGAAAATACTTTTCGGAAACACACTCACACATGCACACTTACACATTAGGTCAGATGTCCATCCTTAGTGGAACGTTATGTGCCATTAACAGTGCTTAGCATTTGGTACTGAAGCTATCAATCTATCTCCCTTACTGTACTATATAAGCTCCTCCAGGACCTTAGAACTCTCTTTATATCCCCCAGGATCTGATACAAGAAATTCAGTAAATGTTTGTCAAAGTAAATGAGTATCTGAAATCAAGAATAGCCTAGAAAATCAATAACTTTTAGTCACTGTAATGAGAATTCATTATAGTCCACCTTCTAGTATAAATAGCTGTTTGTCCTTCTAATAGAATACAAATATCAGGCCCTTAAATAAATGACTTATTGAATTTAACTATCAGAGTAACACCAAGAAACTGAACTGGCAAGTAAGCTAAAATAGTACACAAAAAAGGGACATTCACATAATCAGAAATTGATTTTAGTATTTCAAATGGCTACTTACTAGTTACAGTTTTTATGGACTGTAACATTCTCCCCACAGACTACATCATTCCTCAGAGTCCAACATCCACAAAATTAGCATGAACTATTTACAGACCTAAAGAAAACTCAGCTAGCCAAGTGTTGATATCCACAGCTGCAGCTAAGTGCCCAGTGGCTCTAAGGCATGGATGGCATCCCATCTCCTTCCTGAAAATTCCCTGCCTCCATTGATTGAACCAGAATCCTTGTTTCACTATTTCCCAACAGAGCTCTCACTCAACGGCAGCAATTACAAGGGAAAAAGATGGCTAATCACTATCTAAACTTAACACCTTTGTTTAAAAGTTTTTATTGGTACTCTCTTGACAAAATTGCTAAGGAGGGTATCCTTAAAAAAAAAAAAAAAAAGGTTTGTTGTTTTTTTCTTTTTTGTTTTTTTGAGATGGAGTTTCGCTCGTTACCCAGGCTGGAGTGGAATGGCATGATCTCGGCTCACCGCAACCTCCACCTCCTGGGTTCAGGCAATTCTCCTGCTTCAGCCTCCTGAGTAGCTGAGATTACAGGCAGGCGCCACCATGCCCAGCTAATTTTTTGTATTTTGTAGAGATGGGGTTTCACCATGTTGATCAGGATGGTCTCGATCTCTTGACCTTGTGATCCACCCGCCTCAGCCTCCCAAAGTGCTGGGATTAGTCTTGAGCCACCGCACCCAGCCAAAAAAAAGTTTTTATTGCAAGAGCTACCAACAAAGTGTTAGGGCACAGAAGGAAAAACAAACTGGAAAATCACTGAGGACAGGGACTGAATCTTAGCTACCCCGGCCACCCTATGGCACTTAGTGCAATCCCTGCATCTGACAGCTCACAATACAGTTGTTAATGAATGGTTTTACTTAGTGTAAAAAGGGGATTTTTATCTGTATTGCTTAAATTTTTCAATGTATTCATGTGTTACTCATATAAAACAAAGAAAATATGAAAAATGAGGGATCCTGTGTCTCTGTGTGTATTTTTTTTTTTTTTTTGAGACAGTCTTGATTTGTCATCAGGCTGGAGTCCAGTGGCTCGATCTTGCTCACTGCAACCTCCACCTCCTGGGTTCAAGCCATTCTCCTGCCTCAGCCTCCCGAGTAGCTGGGATTACAGGCGCACACCACCACGCCCAGGTAAATTTTGTATTTTAGTAGAGATGGGGTTTCACCATGTTGGTCAGGATGGCCTTGATCTCTCGACCTTGTTATCTGTCCGCCTCGGCCTCCCAAAGTGCTGGAATTACAGGTGTGAGCCACTGCGCCCAGCCTGTGTACTGCAGTAGTACTGGCCATTTTGCTATTCAGCTGCTGCATTAAATTGCTTCTATTCTTTTTTGTTTTAATTTATACTATTATTATCATCATTATCTTGTAGAGACAGGGTCTTACTATGTTGCCCAGTGTGATCTCAAACTCCTGGACTCAATTTTCCCAGCTTGGCCTCTCAAAATGCTGGGATTATGGGCTTCAGCCACCATATCCAGTCCCTTCTATTTCTTTCCTTTTTGAGACAGAGTCTCGCTCTGTCTCCCAGGGTGGAGTGCAGTGGCACGATTTTAGCTCACTGCAACCTCCGCTTCCAGGGTTCAAGCGATTCTACTGCCTTAGCCTCCTGAGTAGGTGGGACTACAGGTGCATACCACCACGCCCAGCTAACTTTCTTTTTTTTTTTTTTTTTTTTTTTTGTATTTTTAGTAGAGATGGGATTTCACCATGTTGGCCAGGATGGTCTCAAACTCCTGACCTCATGATCCACCCGCCTTGGCCTCCCAAAGTGTTGAGATTACAGTCGTGAGCCACTGCATTCAGCCTCTTTTCTTTTTTGTTTTTTTTTTTTTTGAGAGTCTCATTCTGTCTCCCATTTTGGTGGAAATGTAAAACGGTTTGGTATAGGCATTTTGGAAAACATTTTGGCAGTTTCTAAAAAGTTAAGTATAGGCCAGGTGTGGTGGCTCACATCTGTAATCCCAGCACTTTCGGAGGCCAAGGTGGGTGGATCACTTGAGATCAGAAGACGGAGACCAGTCTGGCCAATATGGTGAAACGTCATCTCTACTAAAGAAGTGTTGGGCCGGGCGCGGTGGCTCACGCCTGTAATCCCAGAACTTTGGGAGGCTGAGGAAGGGGGATCATGAGGTCAAGAGATCGAGACCATCCTGGTCAACGTGGTGAAACCCTGTCTCTACTAAAAATACAAAAAATTAGCTGGGCATGGTGGTGTGTGCCTGTAATCCCAGCTACTCAGGAGGTTGAGGCAGAAGAAATGCCTGAACCCAGGAGGTGGAGGTTGCGGTGAGCCCAGATCGCACCATTGCACTCCAGCCTGGCTAACAAGAACGAAACTGTCTCAAAAAAAAAAAAAAAAAAAAAAAATGTTGGAATTATAAGTGTAAGCCACCGTGCCCAGCCCCCTTCTATTTCTATACAACCATTTTTTTCTGCAAACTTGTTCCCTTAAACAACTATGGAAACCACTACAAATGGAGAGTACTACAAAATTACTCATGAGGTAACATATCATGTTCAAAACATCCTTTAACAGTGCCTCAACTGATTCTCTCCTTTTCGAGTAGACAGGGGAGTTTTAGCGGCCCATTTCACAAAAGACGACATTAACCCTCAAAATCCAAATATCAGTTGCTCAAGACTGCCCTGCTCATAAACTGGAGGTAAAAGAAAGGACTGGGGTAACATCTATATCTTCGTTTTTTTTTGAGATAAAGTCTCGCTGTCACCCAGGCTGGAGTGTAGTGGTACAATCTTGACTCCCTGCAATCTCCGCCTCTTGGGTTCAATCAATTCTCCTGTCTCAGCCTCTCGAGTAGTTGGGACTACAGGCACCCACCACCATGCCCAGCTAATTTTTGTATTTTTAGTAGAGATGGATTTTATATTGGTCAGGCTGGTTTCGAACTCCCGACCTCAGGTGATCCACCTGTCTTGGCCTCCCAAAGTGGTGGGATTACAGGCATGAGCCACCTCGCCTAGCCATATCTTCCTCTTACACCTCTACTTAAAAAAGAGACAGAATGGGCCGGGCGCGGTGGCTCAAGCCTGTAACCCCAGCATTTTGGGAGGCCGAGGCGGGTGGATCACGAGGTCAAGAGATTGAGACCATCCTGGTCAAAATGGTGAAACCCTGTCTCTACTAAAGATACAAAAAATCAGCTGGGCATGGTGGCGCGTGCCTGTAATCCCAGCTACCCAGGAGGCTGAGGCAGGAGAATTGCCTGAACCCAGGAGGCGGAGGTTGCAGTGAGCCAAGATCGCGCCATTGCACTCCAGCCTGGGTAACAAGAGCGAAACTCCGTCTCAAAAAAAAAAAAAAAAAAGAAAAGAAAAAGAGAATGTCCCCTCACAGCTCCCAATCCAAAAATTAAACATGTGAAAATTGTCCTGATACACAAATGGTAGTTACTGTTATTTCTGCAAATGATGTGTAAGTAAGAACTGCACTAGCCCCAACAGAAGATAACTAGCAAGGGACCCTACATTCTAAAACAGGTAACAGATTATGCCTTTCATTACAGAAATGAGATAACCAAAATCCGTTTCACCCAGTACAGTGCTTCCTTGACAATTCTAAAACAAAACAAAATAAAAACATCAACAAGCAAGTGAAACTGTCATATATTACTGGTAGAAATGCAAAATGGTATAGTACAGGCATTTGGAAAACACTTTAGCAGTTCCTAAAAAGTTAGGCCAGGTGTAGGTGGATCACCTGCGGTCAGAAGATTGAGACCAGTCTGGCCAATATGGTGAAACGCCATCTCTACCAAAAATATAATAATTAGCCAGGCATGGTGGTGCACGCCTGTAATCCCAGCTACTTGGAAGGCTGAGGCAGGACAATTGCTTGAACCCCGGAGGCAGAGGTTACGGTGAGACAAGATCGCGCCATTGCACTCCAGACTGGGCAACAAGAGCGAAACTCTCTCAAAAAAAAAAAAAAAAAAAGAAAGAAAGAAAATGCTCTGCAGGAGAATGTTAATAAGCAAAGAAAGACTGATAGAAATAACAACAAAAATCAGCCGATGTGTGCCTATAATCCCAGCTACTGCCATGCAAGGTGGCTCACACCTGTGATCCCAGCACTTGGGGAGCTCAAGGCAGGAGGACCAGTTGAGCCCAGGAGTTTGAGATCAGCCTGGGCAATAAAGCGAGACCCCATCTCTATAAAATAAAAAACTAAATAAAATTTTATAATTAGTAGAGCATGGTGACACATACCTTGGGAGACTGAGGCAGGAGGATCCTTGAACATGTTTGTGTTTTTCTAAAGCACCTTATAGTATCTTATTTATAGATGTCATATATTTAAGAAGGGCTAAGAATATAGTTTCGGCCGGGTGCGGTGGCTCACACCTATAATCCCAGCACTTTGGGAGGCCGAGGCAGGTGGATCACGAGGTCAAGAGATCGAGACCATCCTGGTCAACAAGGTGAAACCCCGTCTCTACTAAAAATACAAAAAATAGCTGGGCATGGTGGTGCATGCCTGTAGTCCCAGTACTCGGGAGGCTGAGGCAGGAGAATTGCTTGAACCCAAAAGGCAGAGGTTGCGGTGAGCCGAGATCATGCCATTGCACTCCAGTCTGGGTAACAACAGCGAAACTCCATCTCAAAAAAAAAAAAAGAATATAGCTTCAACTACTTAGCCAGCCCAACTTAAAAGGGAAAATTAAGGGGGAGCTTAATTTAAGCAGTTGGCTGGGGAATGCAGTAGGAACTAAAACCATCACCTCCCACACTTCTCTCTTACCATTCTGAATTTCCCTATCTCAACTACTTCTACCTTTAGTCCCAGCCATAAAGTTAGTATAGCTCTAGGGATATAAGGCCAAAATGAATAAATCTGTGTTGCTTAAATGTCTGTTCTCATGTGGCTTTGAAAAATTAAAAGCAGGCAGGAACTCTGTTGCATGGAGATGGCTAAATTAACAAAGAAATAAGGGAAACATTTGTAAGAGAAGGAAAAGGTCAAAGTAGTGTGTCAAGGGAGCTGTGCTATGCCCGATATTAGCATTTCACTGGAGCTGCTAGAGAGGTCAAATTACAAATTTGTCACCATCGGCTAATTTGATTGAAAGGTCTAGCCAACTCCAAAGCTATAAAGTCACAGAAAAGGATAACAAGCTCTGGATTATTCTGAATTTGTACTTCAATTTCTGCATTTAACTACAACACAAAATAGAAGGGTAGACTCAAACTTTAAAGAGCTACATTGCAAAGTAAAGGTTCATTGCATATACTATATTTGATGATCCATATTTGACAGCTCCTCACAGAGCCATGCAAAATTAGCATGGACACTTCTTGGGCTTTTGATGTTCATTGCCATCATCTGCTTCTCTGCTAAGATCAGCAAACATATGGGATGAACTGTTAAAGACCGCTAAGTTTCTATTGCCTTTTTATTTTTTAATTCATCTCTAAGGCCAACTTAGGATACCCCTGAAAAAGACCTCATTTATCTGTCTTTAAATCACATCCCAATTCTTTGGACTTTTATTTATTTATTTTTTATATTTTCTGAGACAGAGTCTTGCTCTGTCACCCAGGCTGGAGTGCAATTGCACGATCTCGGCTCGCCACAACTTCCAACCTCCACCTCCCAGGTTCAAGCAAGTCTCCTGCCTGCCGAGTAGCTGAAATTACAAGCATGCGCCACCACACCTGCCTAATTTCGTTTTTAGTAGAGACAGGGTTTCTCCACCTTGGTCAGGCTGGTCTTGAACTCCTGACCTCAGGTGATCTGATCCACCCACCTAACCCTCCCAAAATGCTGGGATTACAGATGTGAGCAACTGTGCTCCGTTTTTTTTTTTTCTTTTTGAGGCACAGTCTCACTCTGTCTGCCTAGGCTGGAGTGCAGTGGCATGATCTTGGCTCACTGCAACCTCCACCTCCTGGGTTAAAGCAACTCTCCTGTCTCAGTGTCCTGAGTAGCTGGGACTACAAGCATGCACCACCATGGCTAGCTAATTTTTCTGTATTTTTAGTAGAGACGGGATTTCACCTTCTTTGCCAGGCTGTTCTGGAATTCCTAACCTCAAGTGATCCACCTGCCTCGGCCTCCCAAAGTGATGGGATTACTGGCATGAACCACTGCACCCAGCCTATCTTGTTTTACACATAAATAAAAATCCAATTATCAGTAACTACTTCTATTAGGTAGAAATTATACCCATTGGCCAGGCATGGTGGCTCACCCCTGTAATCCCAACACTTTGGTAGGCCAAAGAAGGTGGATCACTTGAGGCCAAGAGTTCAAGACCAGCCTGGCCAACATGGTGAAACCCCATCTCTACTAAGAATACAAAAATTAGCCGGGCAAGGTGTTGTGTGACTGTAATCCCAGCTACTTGGGAGGTTGAGGTGGGAGAATCGCTTGACCCCAGGAAGGTGGAGGTTGCAGTGAGCCAAGATCAAGCCACAGCACTCCACCTTGGGCAAGCTTGAGACCTTGTCTCAAAAGAAAAGAAAAATTATATCGATTTACAAATTAAAGGAACTGTGTTTTAGCAGCAGTTAAATAACTGCCTAGGAGAACTGGGCCTCAAAATAAAGTCTGTCTCCAAGTTCTGCTTTTTCTATTATGCCAAACAACCTGCCTCGTGTATATCTCTGCCTTTTTAAATTAAACTAGGCTACTAACTGCTGTTTAATTGTCTTGATGGTGTGGCCATTAAGAACACTGCCTGGGGGGAGGCCAAGGCAGCCAACCACTTGAGCCCAGGAGACCACCCTGGGCAACAGTGAGAGACCCGTCTCTATTAAAAACAAACAAACAAACAAACAAACAAACGTGAGCTGGGTGTAATGGCTCACGCCTGTAATCCCGACACTTTGGGACAGGCATGATGGCGTGTGCCTGTAATCCCAGCTACTGGGGAGGCTGAGGCGGGACAATCACTTGAACCGGGGAGGTGGAGGTTGCAGTGAGCCAAGATGGAGCCACTGCACTCCAGCCTGGGCAATAAGAATGAAACTCCATCAAAAAAAAAAAAGTCAGGCTGGGCGCAGTGGCTCGCTCCTGTAATCCCAGCACTTTGGGAGGCTGAGGCGGGTGGATCACCTGAGGTCAGGAGTTCAAGACCAGCCTGACCAACACGGTGAAACCCGTCTTTAAAAAAAAAAAAAAAAAAGTCAATCAACGGCAGGTGCAGAGGCTCACACCTGTAATCCCAGCACTTTGGGAGGCTGAGGCAGGTGAATCACTTGAGGTCAGGAGTTCAAGACCAGACTGACCAACATGGTGAAAAACCTATCTCTTCTAAATAAATAAACAAATAAATAAATAAAAACTTAGTCGGGCATGGTGGCCGGCGCCTGTAGTACCAGCTACTCAGGAGGCTGAAACAGGAGAATAGCTTGAACCTGGGAGGTGGAGGTTGGATTGAGCCAAGATCATGCCACTGCACTCCAGCCTGAGCGACCGAGCCAGACTCTGTCTCCAAAAAAGAAAAAAAAAAAAAAGTCCTTTCATTTTACTGAGATACCACACCTATCCAAGCCTAAAAGGGTAACCACTATCTGCCTCTTTAGTTGGAAATTTCAGTAACAATGGATCAAAACATCAAAAGCAGTAACTGCAACCTAGGTATATCTACTTTTTGTATCTTCAACCCAACATTTAATGAGTGCCAAACAAAAAAGGTGGCGTAAATCCTCCCTTTCATGTGTTTAATTACATCAGCTCTGAGATGAACACTCACAGTACCTTCTGTTACCCTCTGCAAAATGGGCTACCTCAAATAATGTCTTACTTAGAATGTCAACAAGATTAAACAAGAAAAAAACATGCAGGCCTGGCCTATAATCCCAGCACTTTGGGAGGCCGAGGCGGGTGGATCTCGAGGTCAAGAGATCGAAACCATCCTGGTCAACATGGTGAAACCCCGTCTCTACTAAAAATATAAAAATTAGCTGGACTCAGTGGTGAGTGCCTGTAGTCCCAGCTACTCGGGAAGCTGAGGCAGGAGAATCGCTTGAACCCAGGAGGCGGGGGTTGAGGTGATCCAAGATCGTGCCATTGCACTCCAGCCTGAGTAACAAGAGTGAAACTCCGTCTCAAAAAAAAAAAAAAAAAAAAAAAAAAAACAGAAAAAAGAAAAAAAATGCAAAACGTGTATGTTTCCGAATTTACTGTGTCTCTCCCCTCTCCTAACTAACCTCAAAACCCTCATTCAATCTATCTTGTTTATTGTTGTATTCCCAGGGCCTGGAATGGTTATTTTAAAACTTACTGTACTAGATGATTTAATAAATATTAAGTGAACTGAATGCAAAATGGTTCTCAAAAAAAAAGTTGGCTATTATAACTACAGTAATGGAAAACAATTAAAATTTTGTTGTCTTAAGGGAAGCCACCCCTCCCCCAAGGATCTCACACATCGAGGAGGAACACTAGATGAATGTCGGAATGGCGAAATGGAAGTGAGAGTAACAATTACTGACCACAACAAAATAAAGTCTTAAGCACACGGCTAGAGCCTAATTTCGGACTTGCCGAGTCCAGTGCACACTGGATGAGATGAATAACGCATCAGTACAATAATGACAGTTTTCAGATTTTCTGTGTGCCAGGGTCTGTGTCAAGCGTTTTACTGGCCTCACTAGACCCAAGAACCCTGGGGGAGGAAGGGAACCCACTCCACACCCCCATTTTTCAGATGGGGGAACTGAGGCCCCGGGAGAGCCAAGGTCATAACCTGTAAATGGGCAAACCGGGATGTGAGCCAGGCAGCCAATCCCTGAGCCTGCGCTCAAACAGGCCCTCGGAGGGCCCATTCTCCTCTCCTCCAACTCTCAAAAGCTGGCGGGTGTAGTATTTCCCCAGGAGCCCGACTTCGTGGCCCCAGCGTCGGGAGAATAAAATAGTTCTCGGCCGCGGGCAAGTCCCACGGACGCCGGCACGGCCTGGGTTCCGAGGCCGCGGGACCCACAGTTTCCCTCACATCTTGAGCCCCCGAGCCCTTCGGGCGGCGCAGGAAGCGACAGGGTGGCCTCGGGAGCCCGGGAAGGCCCGCCCCGCCGCGTGACCTTGGAACCGCCGCCTCGCTCCGGGCCTCAGTTTCCACTCCCGGCCTCGCGCCCGGTGCACCCGGGAGCCCGCGCCTTTGGAGCTGCAGGCCTTCACACGCCCCCTCGGCCGCCCGCCTTCACGCCCCGCTTACGCTGGAAGGCGGCCGCTCCAGGGACGCCCACCATCGCCGAGCGCCGCCGCTGCCGCCACCGCCGCCGCCCGCCTCGACCCGCGACACGGGTCCCTCGCAGGCGCCGCCCGCCTCGACCCGCGGACCGGGCCCCTCGCAGGCGTCGCCGCGAGATGTGCAGCGGCCGAGTTAGTCAGACACCGCCACTGCTGCTGTCGCCGCCGCCGCCGCTGTTAGGCCGCGCACCGCCCCGCCTCCGGCTAGCCACGCCCTACCCGCCGGGCACGCCCCCGCCGCACGCTCCCGCCGCCAGACCAACGCACGCGGAAGCCCGGCCCCAAGACCAGCTCCCACTAAGCCCCGCCCCCTATCCTGACCCGCCCCTTCCGCGGGAACCGACCGCCGTATCCCGGCGCAGCCTGCTTTTCAGATCCGCCCCCTCGACGTCACGCTCGCCCGTCACGCGCATGGCCCACTTTCTAGCTCTGGGCTTTCTAGTGTGGCCAGGGCAGTGGCCAGGCACGGGGGCGGAGTCCTAGGGGGCGGGATTACAATGAGTGGCAACGTCTCACCTGAGTTCTCCAGGTGCAGGCCTGATGGCTTTTGCGCATGTCTACGAGCGAGCCCCCTCCCCTTTTTGGCCTAAAGTGCTCTAAGTGCCCAAAATTTCATAATCATAATATTATGTTGTGGTATATAACCATAACATCGTAATATTAACTGTTGGTCGGGAGCGGTGGCCCACGCCTGTAATCCTAGCACTCTGGGAGGCCAAAGAAGAATCACTTCAGATCAGGAGTTTGAGACTACCCTCTCTATTTAAAAAGAATAAAAACCGGCCGGGCGTGGTAGCTCACGCCTGTAATCCAAGCATTTGGAGGCCAAGGCGGGCGGATCACCTGAGGTCGGAGGTTCAAGACCAGCCTGACCAACATGGTGAAACCTCGTCTTAAAAAAAAAAAAAAAGAATAAAAATAAAAAATATGCCGGGCTTGGTGACTCACACCTATAATCCTAGCACTTTGGGAGAATGAGGCGGGTGGATTACCTGATATCAGGAGTTCGACACTAGGCCTGGCCAATGTGGTGAAACACTGTCTCTACTAAAAATACAAAATAATTAGCCAGGTGTGGTGGAGTGTGCCTGTAATCCCAGCTACTTGGGAGGCTGAGGCAAGAGAATTGCTTGAACCTGGTAGGTGGAGGTTGCATTCCAGCCTGGGCAACAGAGCGAGACTCCATCTCAAAAAAAAAAAAAAACAAAAAAAACACAGGGTTCTTATACAAAGTAGAATAAACACATATCAAAGATTTTACTTACCTTATTAACAAGGGAACCAATGAGACAAAAAGACTGGTTCAAAGGAGAACTTGAAGAATGGGATTTATATAAAATAATCAGTCTGTAAATCATGTACCTTCTCTCTCCCTCCCTTTATTTTTTTCACATGGAGTCTTGCTCTGTCGCCAGGCTGCAGTGCAGTGGCACTATCTCAGCTCATTGCAACCTCTGCCTCCCAGGGTCAAGCCATTCTCCTGCCTCAGCCTCCAGGGTAGCTAGAACTACTACTTAATAGTCTGAGGTGGGAGCATCACTTGAACCTGGGAGGTCAAGGCTGCAGTGAGCCAAAATCACATCACTGCACTCTAGCCTAGGCAACACAGCAAGACTGTGTCTCAAAAAAAAAAAAAAAATTCGTTTATGATTACGCCAAGCAGCATGGCAGCTCACACCTGTAATCCCAGCACTTTGGGAGGCCTAGGCAGGTGGATTGCTTGAGCCCAGGACTTCAAGACCAGCCTGGCCAACATGGCAAAACTCCAGCTCCACAAAAAATACAAACATTTGCCATGCATAGTGCTGCATCCTTGTAGTCCCAGCTACTTGGGGGGCTGAGGTGGGAGGATCACTGGAGCCCAGGAAGATGAGGTTGCAGTGAGCTGTGATCATGCTACTACACTCCAGTCTGAGTGACAAAGTGAGACTCTCTCTCAAAAAAAATTGTAGTCAAAAATCTTCCACGGCCGGGTGTGGTGGCTCACGCCTGTAATCCAAGCACTTTAGAGCCCAAGGTGGGTGGATCACCTGAGGTTGGGAGTTCAAGACCAGCCTGACCAACATGGTGAAACCCCGTCTTTTTTTTTTTTTTTTTTTTTGAGACAGAGTTTAGCTCTTGTTGCCCAGGCTGGAGTGCAATGGCGCAATCTCGGCTCACCACAAGCTCCGCCTCCTGGGATCAGGCAATTCTCCTTCCTCAGCCTCCTGAGTAGCTGGGATTACAGGCACATGCCACCATGCCCAGCTAATTTTTTGTATTTTTAGTAGAGATGTGGTTTCACCACGTTGACCAGGATGGTCTTGATCTCTTGACCTCGTGATCCACCCGCCTCAGCCTCCCAAAGTGCTGGGATTACAGGCATGAGCCACCGCGCCTGACCAAAACCCCGTCTCAAAAAAAGAAAAAAAAAATCTTCTAAAACCTGACTCAAGACCCAGAAGGCCTTAGTTGCTAATTTTATCAAATATTTCAGAAGACATAATACCAATTCTACATAATCTCTTCCAGAAAAGAGAGAAGAAACACTTCCAACTCATTTTGTTAGGTCAGTATTAGCCTAATACCAAGAAACACACAAGAAAATACTACAGAAGATACTACAAGTAAACTACATGCTGGACATGGTGGCTCATGCCTGTAATCCCAACACGTTGGGTGGCCGAGGCAGGAGGATCACTTGAGGTCAGGAGTTCGAGACCAGCCTGGACAGCATGGTGAAACCCTGTCTCTACTAAAAATACAAAAATTAGAGAGAGATCCAAGATGGCTGATTACTAGCAGCTCAGGATTGTAGCTCCCAGTGAAAGCGCAGAGAACGAGAGGACGCCACACTTTCAGATGAATTTTTGTTGCTCACGGACCAGGAGATTCCCAGCGGAGGAGCCCCACGGGTCGCCAGCATGACTCTTGTGGCCAGCATGGCGGTTCTTGGTGCAGAGTAAACGGGACTGGGTCCCCTTTTGGTTGACGTTTGGAGCTCCAGGAAGGCAGAGTCACCTATTCACCTGATTGAAAAAGGGACTCAAGAAGCCAGACCAGAGATTCCCGGGCAGAAAAGCACCATGAATCTTAATGCCATTGTTTTAGCCGGTGCAGTGGGTTGCTCAGATTCCAGTGCTGGGAATCAACAAGTTGGACTTCCACTCAGAGACCTAATTTGAAAGTTGGTAATTACAAAGACGACAGGTGGATACATTTACAATGATGGGAAGAAACCAGCATAAAAAGGCTGAGAATACCCAAAATCAGAATGCCTCTCCCTCTACAGGGGATCACAGTTCCTCATCAGCAACGGAACAAGGCCTGATGGAGAACGAGTACATTCCATTAACAGAATTAGGCTCCAGAAGGTGGATAATAAGAAACTTCTGTGAGTTAAAAGAACATGTTCTAGCCCAATGTAAAGAAACTAAGAACCTTGTTAAAAGGTATGACAAAATCCTAACGAGAATAGACAATCTAGAGAGGAATATAAGTGAATTAATGGAACTGAATTAAGAACTCCATGAAGTATGCACAGGTTTTAACAGTCGAATTGATCAAGCAGAAGAAAGGATATCAGAGGCTGAAGACCAACTTAATGAAATGAAACGAGAAGACAAGATTAGAGAAGAAAGAGTAAAAAGGAATGAGCTAAGTCTCCAAGAAATATGGGACTATGTGAAAAGACCTAATTTACGTTTGATAGGTGTACCTGAATGTTATGAAGAGAATGAATCCAAGCTGGAAAATATTCTTCAGGATATTATTCAGGAAAACTTTCCTAACCTAGTAAGGCAGGACAATATATTCAACTCCAGGTAATACAGAGAACACCACAGAGATATTCCTCAAGTAGAGCAACCCCAAGACACATAATTGTTAGATTCACCAGGGTTGAAATAAAGGAGAAAATTCTAAGGGCAGCTAGGAGAAAGGTTGGGTTACCCATAAAGGGAAGCCTATCAGACTCACAGCAGATCTCTCAGCAGAAACCCTACAAACTAGAAGAGAGTGGGGGTCAATATTCAATATCCTCAAAGAAAAGAATTTTCAACCCAGAATCTCTTATCCAGCCAAACTGAGCTTTATAAATCAAGGAAAAATAAAATATTTCACGAACAAGCAAGCACTCAGAGATTTCATCACCACCAGGCCTGCTTTACAAGAGCTTCTGAAAGAAGCACTATATGCAGAAAGGAACAACCAGTGTCAGTCATCCCAAAAATGTACCAAAAGGTAAAGAGTATCTCCATAATGAAGAATCTATATCAACTAATGGGCAAAATAGCCAGCTAGCATTAAATGACAATATTAAACTCACAAATATCAATATTAATCCTAAGTTTAAATGGATTAAATGCCCCAATCAAAGACACAGAAAGGAAAATTGAATAAAAAGTCAAAACCCATTGGTACACTGTATCCGGATCCATCTCATAGGCAAGGACACACAAAGACTCAAAACAAAGCTTTGGTGGAAGACTTATCAATCAAATGGAGAGAAAAAAAAAAAAAAACAGTAACTTTCGTTTCTGACAAAATAGGCTTTAATAGTAACAAAGACTAAAAGAAACAAAGAAGGACATTACATAATGGTAAAAGGATCAATACAACAATAGGAGTCAATGATCATAAATATATATGCACCCAATATAAGAGCACCCAGATACATAAGACAAGTTCTTAATGACTTATAAAGAGACTTGGACTCCCACGCAATAATAGCGGGAGACTTTGACACCACATTGTTAATATTCGACGGATCAATGAGATAGAAACTTAACAGGGACATTTATGATTTGATCTCAGACCTGCAACAAGTAAATTCAGTGAATATCTATTGAATTCTTCACCCCAGGTCCACAGAACATACATTTTTCTCAGTATCACACATATTATACCTCTTTTGAAAGCGACCACATGATTGGAAGTAAATCACTCTTCAGCATTTGCATAGCATTTCACAAACTTAAATGAAAT